GCAAAAACGGCCTGTGTTTATTACTTAATATCTTCGTAAGTAATGGTCCGATTTGGATAATTCAAAAAGATATATCTTTCTTATGTCCTAAAGATTAACGTAGATACTAGTTTTATTGAATTTTCTACAACAGTACTGATCCTCATTGCATAGAATCTTTCGATCTTTACGCTTGCGTTTGGGCTAATGGGTTTTGACTGGTTTTGTAAAGGCTGTCCTACTTAAACAAATATTAAGAGATTACGGTTAATAAAACTATTAAATCTCAATCATAGATTTCGAATCTTAACTATTTAATTTAGAATTTCAACCAAACAGCATCAATTCTTAAGTTTGAATTGATTTTAAGCATAGTTTCGAAATACAGGCCTAAGACCAGATTACATTGAGTAATGACCAAATAAATCCTCAAGTCTAACTAAACAGCCGTTGATTAAAGTTAGTAAGTTGATACAAAAACATTATTGCAGTTTCAACTACACTCGCGAGCAAAACTATGGAATCACTTACATGAAGTTGTTTCCACGCGATCTTGTGTACTAACGAATTTGTTAGTAACAAAAAAAGTGGCACTATTTTAAAGATTAAACTTTTACCTTTAAATTGATACCAAATTCATTTCAATCACACCAGTATTTAAAAAGATATCCCGGCTGATGTGATGAAGTAAGGAAAAAGATATGTATCAACTGTTATATACGTCGCGAGTTGCGGCCTACTTACCCCCTATAAAAGCACGTGTTTTCGGATTTTTGCTTTCACACGTTGATCCGTACACATCTCAGCTTCTTTTGACACTTTACCTGGGATTCTACACCTTCAGAAGCAGCACAAATCCTTGCACTATTGCAAGAAGGGCTCAGCCAGCGGGCTGTCGCACGTCAGCTCCACATAAGCCAGTCCTGGGTTTCAAAAGTTTTAAGACGCTTTCGGGAGACTAGTGGCTTTATCCCGAGACCAAGTTCTGAACAGCGCCGGTGCATATCGCAAAGGGATGACCGTTTTTTCATGTCAACCTCTATGAAATCATCATTTGAGTGGTATCGACGTCCAGCAAGAGCTCAGAAATGTTCGTAGGATAGCTGTTAGCGTGTGGACAGATCGTCTAAGATACGTGGGACACTATTTAAGTTGTGAGCCTAACTATGAAAACAAAGTAGTTTATTATTAAAATGGTATTGATTGCGTTTATTGGTATTGTCTTTCATGATTTATATACTTTTTAATGTGTCTGAAATACTTTTCATAGCATTTTTTCCACTCAGCTTGAGGCACCTCCAAAGCATGCTTTTTGACCGCACCGACAGTTGCTTCNGGGATATAATATTTGGCAACATAAAACATTTGCTATATAAACATTTGCCAAGTAAAATTTGGCCAAATGATAATTTGACCAAATGAATTAGTTGCGAAAAGTACAGTTGCTAAAAGTTCATTTGGGAAATGAAACTTTGGCGATAAGTTGTTTGCGAAGTGAAATTTGGCGAAAAGTAATTTGGCCAAACGGAAGGATACCGTAAAATAACTGTTGCACCATACTGTGAACATTAGTTGCCGATACTAGTGCCTTTACATTCTAGACGTATCGACGTTTTCTGTCTCCGAGCTACAGATACGAGCTGCCTTTTGCATCGCAATCGAATGCTAATGAGTAACAACAAAAAGCTGTTGGAATTTAAAACATTGGTAACTTGTATAACGTGGTATTGGCTGCATCAAATGTCAAAGACCGGACGTTATTGTGCATTCTGTCCGCGCGGCTGACTTGTTGACAAAACGTCAAATCGTGCCGGCCATTGTGCGGTCATTGTCGAATACGCGAGGATCAGAATAAAAATGGTTCTAGGAATGGGACACGAGGGAATCTGGATTTCCGATTGGTCAAGCTTGCTCAAGAATTCATTAATTCACTTCGAAGAAATCGAAATTCTTCGAATGGATAAAAATAATTTGTCCAATTAGTAAAACTTGATCGATGTGTAGTTCCTTTCATAACAGAAACCATTACTACACATTGTTTGTCGTATGTGTATGTAACGTCTATATTGTTACGATATTTACGGTCGATTTGCTTGGAAACTCTCCCAGTTGATCCCGTCGACCGTCGTTCCATCACGTCAGTCTAATATAGCCTTCTGGTGTTCGGGTCTTGGATCTTTGATACTTTGATACGATACACGTCATTACCCACCCACCTTATTAATAGACTATTACGTTAACTGGAAATTGTAACATGGTAGTACTTCAGTACAAAACAATTGGCACTTTACTCCTAAACACAATGTCCCCAAAACTCTCCATGCATGAGAGCCATCGACTTATAAAAAGGGAAAACAAAAAATAACTAGCCGACATCAAAGACTCAACGAAAAGTTGAAAGCGAATGCTTTTCTACGTAAGAGCTTATGAAAGCATGACGTTCATGAAATGTAAAATGTATATTAAAAGATTTATAAGATCTTTTAAAAATTGCATTAAAATATTTACTATATTTATATTTATTTTATTTATTTAAAGACTTTATTGCACACACAACAATGTTCTGTACAAAAAGGCGAGCTTAATGCCATACGTCATTCTCTACCAGCTGACCTTGAGCAAAACAGAGATATTTAGTAGGCGGTGCTAAAAAGCTACAAAAATGTACACAATATAATACATTAAATATTATAATATACCTATATTTATACAAAATATATACATACATATAATTTATATAAAATGGATGACGAGAGGTAAGGGAGGATAGGAGAGGATAAGGGAGAAAAGGAAAGAATAAGGGAGATCAAGACGACATGATGCGTTCAAGAAAATGTTTCAAACTCCGTTAAAATGTTATGCAGTTATTATTATCTAAGAGTTTAGTGCGCGCATAATTTACCAGAGCAGTTAGCTAACGTATTACTTACAATAAGTAATAATTAGTTATTAACCATAGTTCCTGGCTCTATCTTGCTCGGAGTTTAGTTAAATGATAAGTTACTGCAGTACGTACTGGAAAACATTTTTACTCCTAAAAATCACTCGTAACAGGCTTCATTTAGCTTTCATATCAAACTCACCTAAGCTTATCGGACTTTTACCAAACAAATCACGGTTTATCAGGCAGAGTGCGATAAGAGCGATCGTACATCGATACATCACCGTTATCACCGTTATCAACCGCGACCCTTCGTGGGAACCATTGTAGTAACGTCAGCTGTAATGAAACTTATTTGATTGGGTTCTTTCGTTGTGAAATAACTGTATGGGCATGTTTAATTAAAACTTAATTTAATTTTGTACTGTCTGGATTGTTCTGATTGAAATTAACGCTCTACATTTTATTGTTGGTTCAATTGACTATATTTCGTTTCGATGGAAGGTTTAAAAAACTTTCCCATTATTTCCCAAACAAAAATATCTTTGTTTCTCAGAGTGAGAGAGTACAGTTTCACCGATTAGAATTAAGGCACCCTTTAGGCTTATAGTTATAGGCAGTATCAAATTCAATAATATTTTTATTTATCTGTCATTCATTACAGTAATAATTTATTTAACATCCAGAATGACTTTCGGATTGAGTCATTAATTAAAATGCACTTTGATGAAGGAGGATAATAAACATTGTACTATTATCTTAATGAACGATATCGATCTATCTTATCTGGTTACAATCGATGTAATCGGTAAGATACATAAATCGATATCGTTCATTAAGATAAAACAAATTACATGGATAAAATATGTTATAAGTAAGTACTTAGGTATTCCTAGAAAAATCATGTATTAAGCCTGGCGCAGACCATCGACTTTTAGTTGGTCGATAGTTGGATTGGGCTTTTATCAGTATTAGTATGAAAGTGCGCACATTACTTACACCGGTTAATTTTTCATAAAAATAAGTCGGGACCAACTATCGGCCGACTAAAAATCGGTGGTCTGCGCCTAGGCTAAATAAAGGACCTTCTTGTTTACAAACATGTGACGGTACTCTAACATTTGGAGGCATTTTTTCAACATGTCCTGTCCATTTTTTCAAAAAAGTTGAGCTTTTTTCGTACAAAATAAGTTGTATTTCTTCTTGTACTCGTACCGATGACCGAGTTATTTCTGTCAAGAGAAAGCGACCATCTGCTTATAAGGGATGACAGATGGTCTTTACATTACTGGATCAACTTTTTATACGTTTGTATGGCGTGTTCATTTCTCTACACTTTACCAAAGATATCATTGTTTATCAGTTAGTAAACATTTTCCTAAAATTAGGCGTTCCCCGTAATGAGCTATCATAACAAAACAACAACATAAGTGTGTTGATACTTGTGGTACTTAGTATCAGTTCAATTATATGGAACTGTATGTACTAAGCAAACCGGCATATCTCATTCAGGGTTGTGTTACATATGTATGCGATAACGATATTTGACTAACCTACTTGTAATCTCGACGTGGAATGGTCTCGTGCATATTACATGCGGCCATATTATTCAGTTGCTTGAACCTTTAGAGCTTTTGCGAAGACATGTTTGAAAGTAGTTCATTAAATCTTGCCATACTATTGTTTATGTATAAATTAAACATGCATTTTTGTTAGGGTTACCTACACCATATCGAATTACAAATGATCGGGGTTATATGCACAAAATTAAATTCAAGTAACTGCTTAGTTAATCGAAATTCTTAATTTTATGATCACGTAATGTGTACGACTCTCTAGAAACGCATCGGAAGCGCTTCTGTTCTTATAGAAATACACCTACTATATGTATATTTTTTATTTGGCATACATGTTAAAAATAACTTAAAAAGAAGAGTAAAAAAAGAAAGTCAGTCTAAGACAATGGTCTAAGATAGCAAAATATGTGCCAAAAAAGGTTTCAACGACTGCGAAGGACTACGAACGAGGCGACTTTTAATGTCATTTTATGTTTTAACGTGTATTTTTATATCTCTTTTTGAGCTTAGTTTCGGATGCCCATGGATTATTAATAATTAATTTTTCTTTTTCTTTGTTACAGAAGCGGCTTGGCGCGGCGTAGCGGGCGGGCCGCGCCATGGGTAACAAGTGCTGCAGCCGCCGCCATGACCCCGACAGACCTTTGGGTAAGCACCCATACTAATAAGCTCGTGGTGAATGGAACGTGTGGGGGTATACTTTGTGGTGTACGTAGGAGGGCCTTTTGAATACATGGTTCATTTAAAGTGTGTCCGTACAACGATTTCTTCTTCTTATTCGTTACGCTCTTGGCAGAGCCGTCGTGGTCACGTTGAGGCGTTGTTCACATCGGTTGTAGAGGCGGATACAACTCTCCGCACGATCTCCCGCCATCTCTCTCTATTGGCAGACTGTCTGGTGCAGTCACATAAGCCGTCTCCCACTGCTGATTTCACTTGGTCGGTCCAGCGCATTGGTGACCTGCCACGCGATCGGGTTCCTTCGACTTTTCCTTGGACGACCAGTCGTTCTATGGAGTTGTCATCCCGCCTTGAAACATGTCCGAAGTATTGCAGTATGCGCGACTGTACTATGGTTGATAAACGATTTCTATCGACTTCGAAAGTGGAAAACATTGATTTGTCTTCATCACCATCAGCGGGTCATTCTAAGTATCCGCTGCAGGATCACCACCTGATTTATTAGATGTAAATTGGTCTACCATCCCCACGCTAACCAAACGGGTAGAGACGATTTGAAGTTCGCATATTTGACCCTCAGACGCCTTTTATGGTGTTATTTCGATGATAAAAGATATCAAACACTGCAATAACGAGTTTAGGCACAGACTAGTGTTATCAATGGATTGTTCACGCTATCCAGTCTTATCCACAAGATAATAGGGAGATCCCTTATTTTTATTTATTTTCATATCAATTTAGCTAATTTTCTACCTATTTATATGCAAGTAAACAACACTATCTCACCTATAATTAATATCGGTTTGTATGACTTTCCACATATTCATAACATTATTAATCCTGAAATAGAAAATTTGATTCGCTGTTATCAATGAGGTAGAGTCAATTCCTCTTGTATTTCTATCTTTTTTTTCTTTTTTCATACAAAACAGTGTTACTATCTATCTATCCTTGTTGTAAGATAGGAACAATTTAGTACGAAACTCATTGCATAAAATATATCCCTTTTAAATTAAAACCACGTCCCATTTGAATAATTCAAATGCAAAAGATAAAAAATTTCATTATAATAAATACAGCAGCCCTTTCTATTCAAGTAGTAAAACCAGGAGGGAACATCGATAACACAGGTTTAGATTAGTATGATGAGTTACCGGTCAGTTACATAATGGTGGTTACCGAGAGCTACCGTGCGCGTTATCAGTGACAAAACGGACTGAATTTATATCCTAAGATACATGATCATATTTTACGCCGTCAGATCATAGTTTACGCCCGCCCGATACGAGGCGGCTAACGTCTGACAAATACTTAAGGGGCCTTAGTAAGTGAAAACGGCAATATTGACTGTTTTCTATTAGCTGTTACTTAAAGAATTTACGATATTTCGCACTGCTTATATAAATACGTGAAGCTGCTTAATGCTAGGTACAGTCTTCCCAACGAGTCACACAGACACTCAAACGTGTAACACTGTTACTCTTTGGGAACAAAAACCCATCAAATCACACTGTTACATTTTTAGGTACTCGTTTTGGTGTGACTGGTTGATAACAAGTAATTAGGTATTATGTATAGCAAAACAACACGTATAACGCCATAAAATAAGATGCCACAGCTTGATGTGTAGGTACCAGACTACCAGTAACTAATATTGCACGACCCTGGCGGATCATACTGTGTTACATGATTCGTCCCATAACTATGTTAATGACACTGCTGTCCGTATAGTGAATGGATGGATTGGACTAACTAAAGGACAAAAATAATATGTTTTTGTTTTAGATACACCTAACTAGCTAGCTGGATCTGTACATTTACTCTTTAGGAATATGTAGTTTTTGACTACTCTATTTTTCTTTGGTAAATCGTAAGTTACGGGAAGGGCAGCCAGCAGATCCTTATAGGTACTTCTGTGTAAACATTTGGGAACTACTTCGTGCAGTCTACCGCAAAGTTTACGGCTGTCGGAGTACAGAACAGAATATAGATCCTCTTTGTGTGTACGTCTGAAAGGGATTTGGGCCCTTTACAAATGTAAAGAGGACTGAATCCGAAACCGTACTCATTGTTTGTTTATTGTGCGGTAGTTTCAATTAATACGCCTCGCCTTATCGTTTTTGTGGTCTATGGTTAAGTGAATAGTAATATTTTCACATAATTTACATTTCATGGGTTTGTTTACCTTTGTAATCGCTATTCACATTGTTTTAAGAGTTACGAAAAAGATAACGGGTTACAAGTTACAACAGTGGAAACAATGTCATGCAGTCTTGCATGTCGTATCCCAAAATAAAGCAAAACTGTATCTTCAACTACTTAATCTTAAGTCATAACTAAGTTAGATTATGTTAGTTTCGAAACTCGCTCGATTGCAATGCAATAAATAATAACCAAGTTTTCGCAGTGCTGTAATTCAGTGTCCTAAATACTAAACTTAGGCATTAGGCACCAAAGCACGTATCTACACTTGCCTCGTTAATCTTAGTGCATCTTTGCAAAACTCGATTCGGTAATGAGGATCATTTCGATTTTTAGCTGTGAATGCAGATTTATAGGTCTAAGAAATCCTTAATATACAGTCCAAAAATTTTTGTTCTACGACAAAAATTGACGAAGTTATGGCCAAATTACTAAAAAAGTTCACTGACCGCCCGGCGCGGAACCAATGACGTCACTGTATCCGATGTATCGAACAGTTGATACATGTCTTTTTCCTTACTTCTTCACATCAGCCGCGATATCTTTTTAAATACTGGTGTGATTTAAATGAATTTGGTATCAATTTAAAGGTAAAAGTTTAATCTTTAAAATGGTGCCACTTTTTTTGTTACTAACAAATTCGTTAGTACATAAGATCGCGTGGAAACAACTTCATGTAAGTGATTCCATAGTTTTGCTCGCGAGTGTATAATGTTAATGACAATTCGTGTAGTTAACTCGATTCACTCTGCCGAATGCAATGACGCTGTTAAATCTTATAAATAGAAACCACAAAAACTTTGATTCAGAAACATGAAGGCAAAAAACTGGACAAAAACTCACGGCTTCAGGTAATCTTCATTGTAGACCTACAAAATGTGTGAAACCTTCTGGAATCGCCATAGAAGTTTACAAATACCTTAAAACAACTGAGCGGAACTCATTTCCTTGAAGCGAACAATGGCAAAGATTTTTTTTCGCACGCAGCTAAATGTGACCAGTTAGCTTTAATTTGCATCGGCATGTTTCTAGTTTACTCGTACATCGGTGTTTTGAGGTCAGCTGTATTGTGAAGAGTCATTAATGAATTTTAATGGCCACTAACCAAGTATGAATTTAGCACCTTTACTGTTAGAGAGATTGCTCGAGTTGTTAAATTACATTTTTAATTGCACGATGTCATCTCTTCTTTATTTATAACTATCTTTTGACCCCATATAATTTTAATTACTTTTTAGGAAGTAGCATGCGCACTGAATGTGTATTAAACATACCTGCGATGGGTACTTCTGAGATTTCTCCGGACGATTTGTGGTGTCAAAGGTGGGCGTGTCAAGAAACTGTCTACCTAATTACGTATACAACACTTAACCGCAATGCAATTAAAAAACACTAATCGTTTCACAAGCGTTTTCGACATTGCTTTAACTCCACTTTATCTTTTGTTTTCCAGTGTATCCAGCGTACAAGAACGAGACTGGGTTCACCGCGTGCCCCTCCCTGGAGACGCGGTATACGGGGGAGCCCAACAATCGAGGCCTATCACGCCCCCTAGCGGATATTGTGCGTACGCGCAACCCGGGAAAATGTAAGTAGAGAACATAATAATATTATATGAAGAAAGTAAAGGTTAAAGATGTAATTTGTCTAATAGACAAGGTTAATTTGAAAACCTAAACTGTATGCAAACCTAAACACCTGCACCGCTTTCATGTCTTACCATAAATAATTTGTGATTGGGTTAAACTCGACTCTGAGAAGTCTTCAAGTTTTAAGCCCTTGGGTCAAAATCGATGACCTGGCCTTCTTCCCATAATGACCTGCAGCCGATGGCCAATCATTTTTATTCAAACTGTCCCCTCCGTCTGTACATTGAGCAGGGTGGTTGCCTTGCATTGCATCACATAAATTATTATTTGCACTCTAGTAAAATCTTTGAGTTGCCTGGTTGTTGTGACCTGGCTGAGTTAAGTGGTTTATAATAAACGGCTTATTGCAAAACATACGCAAGTGTAATTAATAAAATATGACCGGGCCAGGCAGTTTATCTGATGTAACATACACGTTACGGGAGTTACTCAATTTAAAACACTATGGAAAGTTCACCTTTCTAAAGTTTAGTCATGTGACTTATGGTGCTATCTTCTGATGAAAATTATGATCTTAGAGCATGGAAGCATCTGGTAATGACAGCTGGTCGTAAACATAGCTATAAGTATCCGCCTGGTCTTTTTGCCTAGCCGCTGGCAGTTCTGAATGGGCGTCCTTATACGCTAACTAGCGTGAAATAAAACTGTAATCAAACCAATTCCGTTCGACGTAAATCTTGCATTTCCTGTGTAATATTTATGTTCTGTTAACTGTGTACATCAAGACTAGTGTAAATGTTGTCTCATTTCCTAAGCGGTAATCTTGATGACAAGCTAGAGGAAATGGTTGTTTTTGTGTATCATACGCAACATTATTAATGTAATTTGTACTGCACTTCTGCTCAGTTTATTTTTGAGTTTTACATAATTTGATGACAGCATGTCTGAGGACTTAATGATCGCCTGGCTAGCTACCACCAATACCACCATCTTATCTAAGTCTGTCGCCCTAACCCTAATGTTAACAGCATTGTTGTTTACGGTAGTTTGAGGTAAGATAGCCAGTTCCTCTTTGGTGGTTGAGGATTCTAGGTGAAGCTTGCTTCCACATTCAGCCTGATAATCAATTTTCATCAGATGAGATCCAGGCCAAGAGCTTCCACGTTATAGATAAAAAATCAAGTGAAGAAGTGACTGTTCTTTTATGTGCGTCCTATTATTTTACTACTCTAAATCAGCCATTCTAAGTCGGCTGCTAAAAAGAATCATATTTTAGTTATTATCTAAAATGGAAAGCGTATTGATTGCCTTTTTACTTTTCAGGTATGACCAACGGCGGCCGACGGATCGTGAAAGCGTTATGCGCGTACACAGCCCGCGCGGATTCAGACATCTCATTCCGAAAAGGCGACCGAATGGAGGTCCTCAGCGACGCGGAACCAGACTGGTGGAGGGTCTTACATCTAACGACGAGGAGAGAAGGCCTAGTTCCAGTCAATTTTGTAGCGGAAGAAAGCTCGGTGGAGTGCGAGGAGTGAGTATTGTTTTTTGGACCGCTTGTTCCCAAAAAGTCACACTGAAAAGTGTTACACTGTGACTCGTTGGGAAAAAGTATCAACTCAAGCCTCACTGTTATTCATTAAGACATCTATAATCTATATGTATTATGTATAACTATCTTCCTCCTTCTTCTTCATACATTAAGTAACTTTAATGTCAAGATAAAGTGATTACATTAAAAATAAGTTAAAAAAAAAGAATTAATTAGTGTCACGAGTTTGGAAGATAGGTAAACAGATGTCCTGACGAGTAACAGTGTGACATGATGTGATTGTCTTCCCAGCGAGTCACAGTATTACTGGTGTGAACACAACTTGTTGGGAACAAGCATTTTGGACTGGCGGATCTGCTCTATCACCGCAAAGCATCAAAGTTATGGTCACGTCTATACAACACGCACGATCGTTCACATCGATTCGTGCAATAATCGATTTTCATCACTCCATTGCTCTTACATTGCCTGCTTGTATGGCGTTGCATTTTGAATTGTTTCGTGCCGTTTTCAGTTTGTAATCGAATTCGTCTTATATCGCGATTTCAATAAGAATCGGAAATGACTTTAACTTATTATATGTCATAAAATAATTGTGACTATCTAAAACATATTTAAAAGCGATAGATTTTGTGGAAATCACGATTGTTGAAGGGTTTCCCCCCTGATTAACTTTTATTATGTACCACACATATTACAAAAAAAAAAAAAAAAAAAAAAAAAAAAAAAAAAAAAAAAAAAAAAAAAAAATTCCCACCTCTCGTTCCCACCACTGCAACTCCTGTGTAGCCAGGATCTACAGCTTGACCGCCACAAAAACCCAACCAATGAAGGTCAAGTTTGTCCCGGGGGAAAGTTAAACTGTCATTGGACCCGCAACGAAATTAATCAGAAGAACATAGGAGGAGTTCGAAATTAAGGTTCGACTTCCCTCCATTGCAAAGCNACTACACCGTGCGGGGCGGGGGGGGAAGTGTTATACACATATTACAACCATCATTAAAAATATTCCTTTGTGCAGAGTTAAAGCCGTAAAAATTTGATTATAAAATATGCGTTCTGGTTTTTGTAAATACATGCCAGCATAACTATGTACATAAAAAAGCTTTAACAGCTATAATTTCGAATGTAAATTTCGGTGTAATTACTTTTTAAATAAAGCTTGTAGTAGCCAAAGTGGAACAATACAGTATAAATTACCTACGTAACTAATAATGTACATAGCAGCTAACATAACGCTTGCTACAATAACACGGGGTCGGTGTCGGTGTCAAACCACACCCGTCTAACCGCCAATGTCTGCTAAAGGCAGCCTACATTTTGCAGCTGGTTCTTCCCGCACGTCTCGAGGAAAGAAGCTGATAAACTGCTGCTAGCTGAGAGCAACCCTCGAGGGACTTTCCTCGTCAGGCCAGCCGAGCATAACCCCCACGGATTCAGCCTCAGTGTTAAGGATTGGGAGGAAGGCAGAGGGTACCACGTCAAGCATTACAAGATCAAGCCGCTGGATAACGGAGGGTTCTATATTGCGACGAATCAAACGTTCCCTAGCTTGCCCGCGCTAGTCATGTCTTATACAAGTAAGTTTTCAGTTATTTTCTTTTGTAATATTATGGTGTTTTTGTTCATAGAGACATTCCAAATATCGTGGTGCTTTTATGCGTAAAGATATCAGATATTTCAATTATTATGTGGTATTTTGAAATACCTAACGGTTTTAAAATAGATGGAGGAAATGTGTTAAGGTAAATTTTACTACAGCCGTGTTTTCCTTTTGTTTCGTTTTATCCTGAAAATTATAGAATCATCGAATCTTAGTTTCATTCAATTGCACACGAAGAGAAAACAATATTCAGCACGTACCTACTTAACTCCGATTTTTTTGTTGGAACTGTAATTGGACCGATTCTGAAAGTTGAATTTTTATTGCTCTCCTTTTCCGTGGTCTATTTGAGAGTTTACTCTCTTGATCAGATATTTGATTCCCAGCTAGGATTGGGATACATTTTGAATTAAAATCAATTTTTAAGCATTACATAAAATTCAATTCAAATAATGAATAGTGAATTGATGACCGCGCTCCCTTTGAATTTAATTCAGTAAAGTTGTGGCACCTTACCGAGACCTTGATTTTCAGCTATTAATCACCATTTACTAACATTATTACTCTTCCAGAGCGCTAGGACTGCTGTGTACATGCATCTGTTACTAGGTCTTGATGACATTATTTATGTTCAACTGCTGGGCTATTAACCATTGACCAATGATAAAGGACGTAGCACAGTTATCAACCCGGAAAGGGATCGTAACCGTATTAACTCGAGGCGGTCAGTATTCTTTGTATGAAACTCCATACTTATCAGTTGACAGCGCGCGAAAAGCGAAAATAGCTTGCGAAAGGCGATGATCCATTTCTGAGTTGATAAGTCTGCTATGACCTTTATTCTGTTCTAAAGATGGCGCTGATGCTGTGCTTTCACCTATCAATCACCATTAACCAACCACATAACTCTTTCAGAGAACGCGCTAGGCCTCTGCCATGTGCTAGCGCGAGCGTGCCCGAAGCCCGAACCCCAAATGTGGGATTTGGGCCCAGAACTACGCGACAAGTGGGAAATCCCGCGAAGCGAGGTCCAGCTGTTACGGAAATTAGGACAAGGCAATTTCGGCGAGGTGTACTATGGGAAGTGGCGAAACAATATCGAGGTGAGTAGACTAGAATCAATCTTAAAGATAAAAGAAAGAGCCCTGTTTCAGAAACGATTTAATTCCCAAAGCTAAACCTAAAGCTCATGAACAAAATCTATGCTAACATCACCTGAAAATGTAAGGTTAGGTTTATTTACCAGCACTTTTATTCATGAATGATCCGGCTCGAAGGACCATGTAGTACACTAGATATGTGTTGGCGTTGATGAGGACTATTTATGTATGACAGAAACAGAAGTTTTGTAGTTTAACTCTATTTAATTAATCACACACGATAAGTACGCACTGCTTTTTAGATTTTGGGGTTAATGGAAGGGGCAGTGTTGCCATAGTTAAAAATTGACGTTAATAATATCAATTTATACTGCTCGCCACTTATAAATAAATAAATAAACCTTTATTGTCACCATAATAAAAAAAAACACATTAACACAGCTTAACTATTAAAAATAAGGTGACAAGGGCATCCGGCTCAGCGTAAGCTGTACGGCACTAGGTCCATGCAGCGGTGGTTTTCAGCCGGTGCCAGTCTTTGCACAGTAATACAGCGTACATAGGTAGTACATGCTTATATCATAGCAGGCACTTATATCATACTTTTCCAATTCCAGGTCGCCGTGAAAACGTTAAGAGAAGGCACGATGTCGACGCAGGCGTTCCTGCAAGAAGCGGCCATCATGAAGAAGTTCCGGCATAAGCGGCTCGTAGCTTTGTACGCCGTCTGCTCGCAACAGGAGCCCGTGTATATCGTGCAGGAGTATATGAGCAAGGGCTCGCTATTGGAGTTCCTGCGGAATGGCGAGGGCAAGTTCTTGCAGGTGCGTGTCAATAGAATAGAATAGAAAGACTTTATTGACACAGTAAATAAACCTTTTTAACAGACCTATCTAGGCTTTATTAAATCTATGATTTTAAAAACAAACGTTATAGCGACAAACTGCGTGATCTTCCCAGATCACGCAGTACGCGTAGTGTGAGTTTAAACAAACGCATTTGTTTAAAAAATATATGAAGATTTTAGTTCTTGAAAGTTTCCGCCAGGGCAGGGGCACTGTACAACCCGTCACTTTTTACGCAGTCGATATCGAATGGGTTTGACGTAAACTCGCACCACGTCCCCTGGTGGCCTCGGTACAACGTTAGTTTCGAGAATTGATGTTTGGAGATTTAATTATTTTTATCTTCGTAAAAATGACCAAGTACACGCTGTATTTCCTTGAACAGTTATGTAATTTTGCAAACATCTTTCATTTTGTTTTCCCTTTTAGTGTTCATATACACGAGCGGCTCATAGCCGACGGCAGTGGCAACGTCAGCTGTCGCCACCTTTTAGCGGCAGCTGTCGACTCGTCGACGGTAGCTGTCGCCACGTCGACGACTGCCGTCGACAGTTGGCGTTAGCTGCAGTTGTAGCTGTCTCTTTGTACAGCATGCGACAAGCTGCAGTTGCAACTAACGCTATGAGCCGCTCGTGTATAAAAAGCCTTACTTATTTACCTTACCACACAGTATTATAACAACCTATCTCTCCCCAGTTCGAAGACCTGGTCTACATAGCTGCGCAAGTGGCCTCAGGCATGGAGTACCTGGAGTCCAAGCTGCTCATCCACCGCGACCTGGCGGCGCGCAACGTGCTCATCGGCGAGAACAACGTCGCCAAGATCTGCGACTTCGGGCTCGCGCGCGTCATCGAGGACAACGAGTACTGTCCTAAGCAGGTGAGGATCCGCTGTCCTAAGTGAGCGACGCGACGTAATGCGACCTAGTGTCATGGGTAGGACAACGAGCGACTGATACTGCACGTAACGTGTGTCATAGGTGACTATGTAGGACAACGAGTCGTCGTTTACGTCATAGAAGACAACGAGTACTGTCCTAAGCAGGTGAGGATCCGCTGTCCTAAGTGAGCGACGCGACGTGATGCGACCGATACTTGACGTAACGTGTGTCATAGGTGACTAAGTAGGACAACGAGTACTGTCCTAAGCAGGTAAGGATCTGTTATCCTAGGTGAGCGACGAGACGCGACATGAAGTGCCATGACACGACATAATGCGACCGTTACTTCACGTGACGTGTCATACTGACTACATAGACCTAGTCTACATCGCAGCAAGTGGCCTCAGGCATGGAGTACCTGGAGTCCAAGCTGCTCATCCACCGCGACCTGGCGGCGCGCAACGTGCTCATCGGCGAGAACAACGTCGCCAAGATCTGCGACTTCGGGCTCGCGCGCGTCATCGAGGACAACGAGTACTGTCCTAAGCAGGTGAGGATCCGCTGTCCTAAGTGAGCGACGCGACATAATGCGACCGATACTTCACGTAACNTTATACTTCTTAAACTAGCGTTTTACAATGGTAAAGGATAAATCTTTATCACCAAAAGTGAAATTTAACTGACCGCTTCAGTTTTGTATTGATTAACCACGTCGAAAGTCATAATAAATAGTCGCGCGAAAATTTCCGCAAGTCAATTCCATGTTTTTGTAGTCAAGATAATTTTCAATTCAATGTTAATAATACAAAACGTGCTCAAATGATAAAAAGTTTTGAATAAGGTTGTAGTCAAAAATGTCAAACTTTTCATTAAAAGTATCAGATGTCGTCTAACAACACGTTATGTTGTCGAGGCTCACAACTTAAATAGTGCCCTAGTATAAGCAATAGAATTTGACTCCAAAAAGGCCTGCCACAGGCTCGAAACTGACGGCAGGTCACCGACAAGCACGCTTTCAATTAACTCGCACTTATTCTGATGGGTAGGCGAGTAATGGAGGCGAGTTTTGTTCTCCGATGAATGCAGACTGTGTTTGCGGTGCAGCAGTTGAAGAGGTCGGGTCTATAGGCAGCCTGGGGAGCGATTTGTGCAGTGCTGGTTCGTTGAAACAGTAGCTTATGGGGGTGGCTTGCTCGACTTCCCATCGAGATGTGTACGAGCAAATTGAAAGCGTGCTTATCGGTGACCTGTCGTCAGTTTCGAGCCTGTGGCAGGCCTGTTTAGAGTCAAATTCTATTGCTTATATCTTAGACGAACTGTCCACACGCTAACAGCTATCCTACGAACATTTCTGAGCTCTTGCTAGACGTCGATACCAGTCAAATGACGATTTCATAGAGAGTTTGACATGAAAAAACGGTCATCCTTCTGCGATGTGCACTGGCGCTGTTCAGAACTTGGTCTCGGGATAAAGCCACTAGTCTCCCGAAAGCGTCTTAAAACTTTCGAAACCCAGGACTGGCTTATGTGGAGCTGACATGCGACAGCCCGCTGGCTGAGCCCTTCTTGCAATAGTGCAAGGATTTGTGCTGCTTCTGAAGGTGTAGAATCCCAGGTAAAGTGTCAAAAGAAGCTGGACAACGAGTACTGTCCTAAGCAGGTGAGGATCCGCTGTCCTAAGTGAGCGACGGAATGCGTAATGAAGCGCCGCGACATGACATAATGTGACCAATACTTCACGAAACGTGTGTCATAAGCGACTACGTAGGACAACGAGTACTGTCCTAAGCAGGTGAGAACATTTTATGAGCTAAACGCGACCCTCCCTCAGATTTTGTATGGCAAAGACGACACTGTTGAGCTGTAGTCGCTAGTATTTAACTACTGCGACTTCGGGCTCGCGCGCGTCATCGAGGACAACGAGTACTGTCCTAAGCAGGTGAGGATCCGCTGTCCTAAGTGGGCGACGCGACGTAATGCGACCTAGTGTCATGGGTAGGACAACGAGCGACTGATACTGCACGTAACGTGTGTCATAGGTGACTATGTAGGACAACGAGTCGTCGTTTACGTCATAGAAGACAACGAGTACTGTCCTAAGCAGGTGAGGATCCGCTGTCCTAAGTGAGCGACGCGACGTGATGCGACCGATACTTGACGTAACGTGTGTCATAGGTGACTAAGTAGGACAACGAGTACTGTCCTAAGCAGGTAAGGATCTGTTATCCTAGGTGAGCGACGAGACGCGACATGAAGTGCCATGACACGACATAATGCGACCGTTACTTCACGTGACGTGTCATACTGACTACATAGACCTAGTCTACATCGCAGCAAGTGGCCTCAGGCATGGAGTACCTGGAGTCCAAGCTGCTCATCCACCGCGACCTGGCGGCGCGCAACGTGCTCATCGGCGAGAACAACGTCGCCAAGATCTGCGACTTCGGGCTCGCGCGCGTCATCGAGGACAACGAGTACTGTCCTAAGCAGGTGAGGATCCGCTGTCCTAAGTGAGCGACGCGACCGATACTGCACGTAACGTGTGTCATAGGTGACTGTAGGACAACGAGTCGTTTACGTCATAGAGGACAACGAGTACTGTCCTAAGCAGGTGAGGATCCGCTGTCCTAAGTGAGCGACGCGACGTAATGCGACCTAGTGTCATGGGTAGGACAACGAGCGACTGATACTGCACGTAACGTGTGTCATAGGTGACTATGTAGGACAACGAGTCGTCGTTTACGTCATAGAAGACAACGAGTACTGTCCTAAGCAGGTGAGGATCCGCTGTCCTAAGTGAGCGACGCGACGTAATGCGACCGAGTGTCATGGGTAGGACAACGAGCGACTGATACTGCACGTAACGTGTGTCATAGGTGACTATGTAGGACAACGAGTCGTCGTTTACGTCATAGAAGACAACGAGTACTGTCCTAAGCAGGTGAGGATCCGCTGTCCTAAGTGAGCGACGCGACGTAATGCGACCGATACTTCACGCAACGTGTGTCATAGGTGACTATGTAGTACAACGAGTACTATCCTAAGCAGGTAAGAATCTGTTGTCCTAGGTGAGCGACGAGACGCGACATGAAGGGCCATGACACGACATAATGCGACCGTTACTTCACGTGACGTGTCATACTGACTACATAGACCTAGTCTACATCGCAGCAAGTGGCCTCAGGCATGGAGTACCTGGAGTCCAAGCTGCTCATCCACCGCGACCTGGCGGCGCGCAACGTGCTCATCGGCGAGAACAACGTCGCCAAGATCTGCGACTTCGGGCTCGCGCGCGTCATCGAGGACAACGAGTACTGTCCTAAGCAGGTGAGGATCCGCTGTCCTAAGTGAGCGACGCGACCGATACTGCACGTAACGTGTGTCATAGGTGACTGTAGGACAACGAGTCGTTTACGTCATAGAGGACAACGAGTACTGTCCTAAGCAGGTGAGGATCCGCTGTCCTAAGTGAGCGACGCGACGTAATGCGACCGGTACTTCACGCAACGTGTGTCATAGGTGACTATGTAGTACAACGAGTACTATCCTAAGCAGGTAAGAATCTGTTGTCCTAGGTGAGCGACGAGACGCGACATGAAGGGCCATGACACGACATAATGCGACCGTTACTTCACGTGACGTGTCATACTGACTACATAGACCTAGTCTACATCGCAGCAAGTGGCCTCAGGCATGGAGTACCTGGAGTCCAAGCTGCTCATCCACCGCGACCTGGCGGCGCGCAACGTGCTCATCGGCGAGAACAACGTCGCCAAGATCTGCGACTTCGGGCTCGCGCGCGTCATCGAGGACAACGAGTACTGTCCTAAGCAGGTGAGGATCCGCTGTCCTAAGTGAGCGACGCGACCGATACTGCACGTAACGTGTGTCATAGGTGACTGTAGGACAACGAGTCGTTTACGTCATAGAGGACAACGAGTACTGTCCTAAGCAGGTGAGGATCCGCTGTCCTAAGTGAGCGACGCGACCGATACTGCACGTAACGTGTCATAAGTGACTATGTAGGACAACGAGTCGTTTACGTCATAGAGGACAACGAGTACTGTCCTAAGCAGGTGAGGATCCGTTGTCCTAAGTGAGCGACGCGACGTAATGCGACCGATACTGCACGTAACGTGTCATAAGTGACTATGTAGGACAACGAGTACTGTCCTAAGCAGGTGAGGATCCGTTGTCCTAAGTGAGTGACGCGACCGATACTGCACGTAACGTGTCATAAGTGACTATGTAGGACAACGAGTCGTTTACGTCATCGAGGACAACGAGTACTGTCCTAAGCAGGTGAGGATCCGTTGTCCTAAGTGAGCGACGCGACGTAATGCGACCGATACTGCACGTAACGTGTCATAAGTGACTATGTAGGACAACGAGTACTGTCCTAAGCAGGTGAGGATCCGTTGTCCTAAGTGAGTGACGCGACGTAATGCGACCGATACTTCACGTAACGTGTATCATAGGTGACTAAGTAGGACAACGAGTACTGTCCTAAGCAGGTAAGAATCTGTTGTCCTAGGTGAGCGACGAGACGCGACATGAAGGGCCATGACACGACATAATGCGACCGCTACTTCACGTGACGTGTCATACTGACTACATAGACCTAGTCTACATCGCAGCAAGTGGCCTCAGGCATGGAGTACCTGGAGTCCAAGCTGCTCATCCACCGCGACCTGGCGGCGCGCAACGTGCTCATCGGCGAGAACAACGTCGCCAAGATCTGCGACTTCGGGCTCGCGCGCGTCATCGAGGACAACGAGTACTGTCCTAAGCAGGTGAGGGTCCGCTGTCCTAAGTGAGCGACGCGACCGATACTGCACGTAATGTGTCATAGGTGACTGTGTAGGACAACGAGTCGTTTACGTTATAGAGGACAACGAGTACTGTCCTAAGCAAGTGAGGATCCGTTGTCCTAAGTGAGCGACGCGACGTAATGCGACCGGTACTTCACGCAACGTGTGTCATAGGTGACTATGTAGTACAACGAGTACTATCCTAAGCAGGTAAGAATCTGTTGTCCTAGGTGAGCGACGAGACGCGACATGAAGGGCCATGACACGACATAATGCGACCGTTACTTCACGTGACGTGTCATACTGACTACATAGACCTAGTCTACATCGCAGCAAGTGGCCTCAGGCATGGAGTACCTGGAGTCCAAGCTGCTCATCCACCGCGACCTGGCGGCGCGCAACGTGCTCATCGGCGAGAACAACGTCGCCAAGATCTGCGACTTCGGGCTCGCGCGCGTCATCGAGGACAACGAGTACTGTCCTAAGCAGGTGAGGATCCGTTGTCCTAAGTGAGCGACGCGACGTAATGCGACCGATACTTCACGTAACGTGTATCATAGGTGACTAAGTAGGACAACGAGTACTGTCCTAAGCAGGTAAGGATCCGTTGTCCTAAGTGAGCGACCAGACGTAAGGCGACCGATACTGCACGTAACGTGTGTCATAGGTGACTAAGTAGGACAACGAGTACTGTCCTAAGCAGGTGAGGATCCGCTGTCCTAAGTGAGCGACGCGACGGATACTGCACGTAACGTGTGTCATAGGTGACTGTAGGACAACGAGTCGTTTACGTCATAGAGGACAACGAGTACTGTCCTAAGCAGGTGAGGATCCGTTGTCCTAAGTGAGTGACGCGACCGATACTGCACGTAACGTGTCATAAGTGACTATGCAGGACAACGAGTCGTTTACGTCATAAAGGACAACGAGTACTGTCCTAAGCAGGTGAGGATCCGTTGTCCTAAGTGAGCGACCAGACGTAATGCGACTGATACTGCACGTAACGTGTGTCATATGTGACTATGCAGGACAACGAGTCATCGTTTACGTCATAGAGGACAACGAGTACTGTCCTAAGAAGGTAAGGATCTGTTGTCCTAGGTGAGCAAGGAGACGCGACATGAAGGGCCATGACACGACATAATGCGACCTCTACTTCACGTGACGTGTCATACTGACTACATAGACCTAGTCTACATCGCAGCAAGTGGCCTCAGGCATGGAGTACCTGGAGTCCAAGCTGCTCATCCACCGCGACCTGGCGGCGCGCAACGTGCTCATCGGCGAGAACAACGTCGCCAAGATCTGCGACTTCGGGCTCGCGCGCGTCATCGAGGACAACGAGTACTGTCCTAAGCAGGTGAGGATCCGCTGTCCTAAGTAATATAATATAATAATATCGTTTATTTCAGTGAGTGACGCGACCGATACTTCACGTACCGTGTGTCATAGGTGACTAAGTAGGACAACGAGTCGTCATCTACGTCATAAAAGACAACGAGTACTGTCCTAAGCAGGTGAGGATCCGCTGTCCTAAGTGAGTTACGCGACGTAATGCGACCGATATTTTACGTAACGTGTGTCATAGGACAACAAGTCGTCGTTTACGTCATAGAGGACAACGAGTACTGTCCTAAGCAGGTGAGGATCCGCTGTCCTAAGTGAGCGACGCGACCGATACTGCACGTAACGTGTCATAAGTGACATTGTAGGACAACGAGTCGTCATCTACGTCATAAAAGACAACGAGTACTGTCCTAAGCAGGTGAGGATCCGCTGTCCTAAGTGAGCGACCAGACGTAATGCGAACGATACTGCACGTAACGTGTCATAAGTGACTATGTAGGACAACGAGTCGTTTACGTCATAGAGGACAACGAGTACTGTCCTAAGCAGGTGAGGATCCGCTGTCCTAAGTGAGCGACGCAACGTAATGCGACCGATACTGCACGTAACGTGTCATAGGTGACTAAGTAGGACAACTAGTCGTCGTTTACGTCATAGAGGACAACGAGTACTGTCCTAAGCAGGTGAGGATCTGTTGTCCTAGGTGAGCAAGGAGACGCGACATGAAGTGCCATGACACGACATAATGCGACCAATACTTCACGAAACGTGTGTCATAAGCGACTACGTAGGACAACGAGTACTGCTTAGGAAAGCAGGTGAGAACATTTTATGAGCTAAACGCGACCCTCCCTCAGATTTTGTATGGCAAAGACGACACTGTTGAGCTGTAGTCGGTAGTATTTAACTACTGCGACTTCGGGCTCTCGCGTGTTATAGAGGACAACGAGTACTGCCCTAAGCAGGTAAAGAGTTAATCGATATATCCAAGCCAAGTTAACTACATAATTTTTGCTCGTTAGGTGAGAAGAGTAGAATTTTTATGAGCTGTCAACGCGACTCACAGATTTTGTATAGCAAAGGTGACTAAAAACATTGCGTCGGTTGCTACGCACATAAACGGGCCGGTATTCGCGGTTCGGCAATATTTGTTAAAGGGCAAACTGCCGTTTCATGCCGGCTCGCTAAGTCAGCTCAGATTGCGACCTTTTTTTATATCTGACTTTATCTTTCCCAGGGCTCCCGCTTCCCCGTCAAATGGACCGCGCCCGAGGCCATCATCTACGGCCGCTTCTCCATCAAGAGCGACGTCTGGTCCTACGGCATCCTCCTCATGGAACTGTTCACCTATGGCCAGATACCCTACCCCGGACTCCACGGCAAAGACGTCATAGAACAAGTCGAAAGAGGCTACCGAATGCCCAAACCGGTCGGACATTACCTCCCAGATGACATCTACAGGCTTATGCTTCAGTGCTGGGACGCCATCCCAGAAAAACGGCCCACGTTCGAATTCCTGAACCACTATTTCGAATCGTTCACAGTGACCAGTGAGATACCGTACAGAGAAGTGCAAGACTAGTGCTGTGATATAGTGAAATAGTTAAACTGAGGTCCTAGCTAATGAACCGAGTTGTGAGTGCATTGTGCCGGCTGAGAAAATGGTGCGCGAGACATTTCAGCCGTGTGAAACCGACATTTTCTTAGTCCGTAACCAAACATGCTTACGTTGACGCCATGTTTGTGTTATGTAAACAATCAATAAACATTTTTAGGATTTTTATACTCAAAGCTGATTGACATAATGAATACAGGAATGCGTGAGCTTCTTACATTTTTGGTCAGCTTTACGTTTCTGATTTGAAATTTTGAAGCATTGGCAAATTACGACATTGTTAAAACAACTAGAAATCACTGTACATAAAATGATCGAATATATGATATCGTAGTATGCCTATTCTTTGAACAAATGGCAAGAATTTCGCCTAAGCTGAATTATAGCAGGAGATGCCACAAAATGACTTCCTAGCATTTGACGACTTGCAAATTTAAATCTCGTCCTTATTTATTAGCGACTAGCTTTTAAGCACTAATGTAGGTTATTGTTTTGCATTTTGTACAAAACAAACTTTTCACTATGACATAAGCAATAAAATTAAAAAAATACAAAACACGATATTTTCATATTCTAAAGTGAAATGTGATATTTTTTCATCATAAGGCCCACTGAAGTAAAAGAGATCTCGAATTATATGCTCTTTCTGTTTGTTTCTATCATATTATACACTATAGAGATTATATTTGCACAACTTTAATGGTTTCATATTATGAAGCGTACAAATCCCGTTTACTAAGCCATTTTATGGTTATAAAATATTCCCATAAGGTTCCTTTGCAATTGAAATCTGCAAACATGATTGTGTTAAAAGTTTTTACAAGTTTGTATTACTTAACAAATCAGAAACCACTTTGTTTGAATCAGTTTGCAAAGGGGCCAACACCCTCGTGTAAAAAGACAAATAAAATTAGCTTTAGGACTATATACCAAAGAGTTATTTGTACATTAAGAGCAAATGATAGAGTAGACGGAGCGTATTTAATTTCTAGCATAGTTATTCTTGCGACCTGTATAATATTAATTTGACCAATATCCCACTCTTAATGCATATGGCAAAATTGTATTATATTAAAATATTGTTACTAATTATTACTATTGGATTCTAATATTGACTGATCACCGACTTGCTGTTAATTCTACCTGTAATTATTAACCTTTATCTTGGTTATTTCTGACGCCTAAAAGTATTAAATCTGCTTTAGTCATCATTTCTTTGAACTAGAAATTGTATAAAGCCAATGAAAATAGTGTCTTAATAACATTCCAAATATTCAAACACGTTAAATTTGGACACTTTTGTACTATGAAAACATTTAGATTTTTAAGGTTTTGTACATACAATGAATAAATGTCATTGATATAAATAAAGCTTTTATTTACAATTTCCACAATGTCGTAAATGCATGTCTTTGAATAATGCGATAAATACACAGATGGGAAACACAATGGATTAAATAATAAACTCATTCTATAAGCAACTTAAAGTACAGGAAAGTTACTTATGATCAGACAAACTAAATGAATTCTCAAATTCCAAATATAATCACAAACTAAGTTAATATACTGTGTGTATAATATTAGAAATCGCTAAAACGACATAAAAATCACAGATCCTCTTATATAATTTTATATTACATTATAATTTCATCATTTAGTCATTTCATTGAAACTAAAAAGAAGATACAAATATTAAAAGTATTAAAACCTATAAATTAAAATTTAATTTCACTATAACATACTTCGTGATATTATACAGTATCTGAGTATATTTTACTTTTAATCTTCAAATACCTGTATTCCGATTGATAGAAGTTCTGCATATAATGCCAGCAGTGGAGCAGTGGTATTGGCACATATTGAGGGTTTTTCTTGCTGTAGTGGTTTAGGTATATTGCTAGAGCCACCAGCATTCCTGACCACACATATCTGTAAAGGAAAATATGGTTTCATTCATAATAGCCGTATTTAAAGGCAGTTATGCAACTGTTTGAAGGGCAAAACAATATATGAATTTTGTACAAAAGACAGCACATCAGAATTCAGACTATAATGTACGTGTTTGTTGAAAAATCATCCTTATTACAAGTGCTTAAGGGGCCAGTGTGTAGCTTGATGTGCCATCGTCTGTACAATACGTCGACAATACGAAAATACAGATGAAACTGCATCACGCATTCACGTAACGACGTAACGATAATGGTAGGGTAGGCACTTAACATAATATTTAGAGTAGGCGCACACCGTTGATTTTTCGTCGACCGATAGTTTAGTCGGGCAGTTGATCAGTATGGGCATGTATGGGAGTGCGCACACTACGCCGATTCGATTTGGCCGATTCTTCATACAAATTAAAATCGGGCACAACTATCGGCCAACTAAAAATCAACAGTGTGCGCCTACTCTTATCAGCATTTCATAGCTACTTACTGGAAGACAAAAGGCTTGCTGAACAGCAAGAAAGAAATGACTATCGACAGCGCCTTCCTCATAGTTGTGACAGTCACCGCGACTGTGGCGCCACAGATCCGCACCAACGTCAACACCGCTTGAAGCCCCAGGTACCCAGTCACACTGAGCAGGAGAATGTTTGTGTACATTTTCACTGGGTTCTGAAAAGATATTTGGTTAAAAAAATGTTTACCATTGATACATAACTTTAAATAGGCACTGTTGCAAGTTTTAAAATCACCTCAAGGCTAGGTATCACTTTTATCAGTTGTATTTCATATACATTTACCTAATGTATGTTAATTTAAATATGGATAGATATTAAAAAAAAACATGAGCCTCACAGACTATACACCAATATCATAGTGTAAACAACTCAATCCCTACATGATGAGTACTACCAGACACCCACCAACAGATGGCGCGTTTCCGAGCCCTATTAGATTTCGAGTCCTAATTTGACTTGAACCTGGGACCCCTTTCATATCTACAGGCGTTTCCACGACTCGTGCTGCTGCGCCAATCAACGTCGTCAATAAACTTTTTGGTAGCACAATTTAGTTTCACTAAAAAAAAAATTAACAAGAAAAAAACCATCTGATATTACCTCAGCGCAGTAGACAAATCCATCACTCAGTATGCCAGTAGCACCAGTGATGACCACAAGGTAAATGCATGCGATAGCATACGAGTAGAACACCACTTCATTGTTCGACGCTTGGAACTGCTTCATTGCCTTCTCTTGGACGTTGCCAATAATTGCATCACATAACAGTGCCAATGATATGACCAATACACCAACAACATCAAAGTTTGGTGATGTGTCGGAATCAGCTGCAAAATAAAGGTAATCAGAATGAGTTCTTGAACCATTATCATTGCACAGACATTGCATAGATATCATTTAAATAGGATGTATTAGCAACTTAAAAAACAAAAGTACCTATTGTTTAGAATTTTTTGCATTTTATTTCGGCTATTTTTTTTATGCATGCCAAGGCAGGTATAGTAATCAGAATGAGTTAATACACATCATACTCATGACATCATACAGAGCGGTAAGCATCAAGCAAAAGTCAATACTTTTTTGCTTGAAGCTAAACAATGTTTACAAATTAGATAAAATAATTTACCAACAATCTTACCTAATGTGAACATTGTGAGTCCAATGCACATAATTATAGCAGCGACATAGTCCAGGAATCCGTACCGTTTACCCAATATTATGATGCTGCCGATCATCACGGGAATGAGTTTGCAGCTCTTGAAAATCAGTTGTGTAGGATAGTTTAGATAGCTCAAAGCTAGATTTGAAAAGGACATGGTGCCAAGTGTTAGAGCTGCAAGGATGGCATAGGTCCTGATTGGGACTCTGTAATGACAATTTTGTTTAGTTAGCACACATTTTTAATCATATTATTGTTGTTCATTTACTTAGGCTGAGTTGCACCACCTAACTTAGATCTTAACTTTAACAATAACCGGTGTTTTGTATGGAGTTTGACAGATTTTTGATGTTTGTCAAAGTTAAAGTTAGGTGGTGCAACCCAGCCTTAGTTGCTAAAGTTCATTATCCTGCAAAAGCAGGGTAGTAGGTATCAGTTACATTTTTAAAATTGCATTAAATTAACAATTTCCAAATAACAACACTATCACATTGATATTGTGGTCAGAATATAACTCCATATAATGGTAATTGCCTAGGTTATTACCACTAATCAATTAATGTGCTTATTAGTGACTTAATCAGAGTTTACACAATACATACTTACTTTCTTTTAATAGGATTCCTGATTAATGACTCCACGTAACTTAGGAACATTGTGATTAAAAATTGAACTAGTGTTATGTACAAACTCACGGGTTTGACCTCTGCCCCTGAGAATATTAACTCTAAATAATATCCGTAAGCAAGGTAACATATAAACACAAATGCCGAACATAGTAAAAACTGAGTCAGTTGACTGTAAGGAGTTATGTCCAGGCATAGAATGTTGATGGCAGCGGTTTTTTGGCTTTCTCTTCCATTGCTGGAGTCTTCAATCTTAATCACAGTATCCTTTGAAGAAATCATGGTTAAATTGTATTATCGCAGGTCACAGCATTATCTGTAAGAATATTTATGTTAGTAGTATCTTCTTTTAAACTATAAACTAACAAAAATTAAAATTCATAGTTTCAAAACAATTTTACAAGAACTTTTTTACTCGGTAATTATCTACCTATTAAATGCAGGAATAGTTTCTTCTTATTGATTTTTCATATCAATATATTTTAATAGCTTAGACTTTCTTTTCATTACCTTCACAAATGCGTATGTATTTAATTAAATAAAAGATTAAAGTTTTTTTTTTTTATTTTTATTTGTGGCAATTAAACCTCTCTGGGAGGTTTATTTCTGCCAATGTCGAGTGAAAAATATTGACATAGATATCAATAGAACGCGGGTGTTTCAGTTCTATTGATTTTTCATGGATTCCGTGGGGTTAAGTATGCCCGTAAGCAGGTTTCGAGACGCCACCGGGTCCAAAGCGGGTTGTTCATACGACAACCCACTCGACACTCGATGCGCGCTCAAATTCGAAGTATTTCAATGTTTTTTATAATTTATCACTTCACTGCACTTTAGAACACAAAATAACACCAAATTTGTACACTAAAGTCCATTAAATAATAAATTGAAACCATTAAAACAGATCGACCATGCTTCCCGTTCAACTACCCTCCACGGAAAACCATTAAAGTTTTTTGTACACGTCGATCATCCAATATTTTGAAATTTGACATGATTTGTTTGACAGTCGGTTGACAGACGTCAGTGTCACTGTCAATGTCAGTATGACATTGTTTTTTTTTTTAAATAAAAAAAGTTTCAATGAGTGTATAACATTATAGCTCTGTCCTAGCTGTGCCGACCGAACCTAAGCCACCACAACATAAGCCTTATGGGGAACGGGGAAAAACCGGAAAGGTGACCGAAATAAAAATATACCGTTTCAGAGCTAAGATTTTTCAAAAGTCCTCGGTTTTGGACCTAAATTTTTGTTGCCGTGTGTACAAAATAAATATAAACAAAAGAAGGAGCGAGGAGTCTGAAGCCAATTTCGACACTATAAAATTCATTTACAATTTTTTGGTTGGATTGGATGTGATAATGTGAATCGCTGTGAAGTGTGAATCGTCAACATGATAGCTCCAAAGATAATATAATCGATTTTTTCTGACAAAACTTTTATTAGTTGTCTGTGTATGCTCTTTGGTGTTCAGTCTATCCATGAAGCTAAAGATAAAAATGGAGGGCAGAGTTGGAACAAAAACTTGAGTCAAATACCTACTTATATCTATCTCGCTCTCTGCGGCCCTACCTCTCTTTTTAGTGTGAACTGTAGTATTGCTATCTTCTGATTTAAATCTCCTTGTAAATTCTTCGAAATAGCCAATTCACTAACCAAATCAGAAGTTAAACAAATAAATAATTAATATTTGAAACTAAGATTTCCTAGTTAAATAAAAAATCACAAAATTGTCGGCCATTTAGGCTTAATGTGTTGGCGAATCAGGGAATTACAATCCCAATTCCTGGGTAATCGGTACCATGTGGCAACATCGGCCCAATCCGGCCCATCATGGCGGTTGTTTACTATTTTGTTTATTAAGCAGTTAATTTCGTTTGAGATTGTTTACAGGAAATAATCATTGTTTTATCACAAGAATTGGTGCAAAATTTTGTAGTGCGTGGTTGCGGTAGTACGTGGTGTCCTGGAAGTGACATAAGATTCCACGCGTAAGTGTTTATTTCGTGATTTCCGACATTGGATCATTGTAAACATTTTTCACCTTTTTTACAGTAATTTCTTCCTAAAACGTTTTACCAGTAATTACACTTATCATTTTTAATGAAACCTATGTCAAGAAATAAAGATTTTACATTGGTTTCATTGAATTTGAGCAATTTTATATTTTTTGTTTATTTAGAAAGAGCGAGTCTGCCCACAGAGAGCGAGATAGTGATACTTAGTTTGTGCTTCAAGTAGGTATTCGGAGTGTGGCCTCCATTTTTATCTGTAGCTTCATGAGTCTATCTATGATCACTTTTTTTTTTACAGGATCTAGCGACACTTTTTCTTGTGGTTCGCAAACAAATAATTTAGGAAATAAACTATAATTTGCGTTATTTATCGTGTAAATCCCTCAATTACGACTTTATTATTGAGGTTTTGTAGTAAGGTACGTACTTATTTGAATAGAAATGTTGTATTTTGTGCCATTTTTTGCAAACTTGCGAATTCAATGTGTCAACTTTCGCAGATTGCAGCTTAGCAGTCGTCAAACTGGATTGAGACAATGATGGACTCGGACTCGTCCGGTGCGGACTTCTGCCGGTTCTGCCGGTCAGAGGCGTCGTCAGACCGGCCGCTATTCCACCCTTGCATCTGCACGGGTTCTATCAAGTGGATTCACCAAGAGTGCCTGGTGCAATGGATGCGGTATTCCAGGAAGGAGATTTGCGAGCTTTGCGGCCATCGGTTCTCGTTTATGCCGATCTACTCGCCCGATATGCCTCGCAGGCTGCCTATCCGCGACGTAGTGGGCGGCCTGGTGACTTCCGTTGCGTCCGCCGTGAAAGACTGGCTGCATTACACTTTGGTGGCGCTCGCTTGGCTCGGGATCGTGCCGCTAACGGCGTGCCGGACGTATAGATGCCTATTCTCAGGATCATTAGACCCAGTCATATCCCTACCATTCGACATCGTATCTGCTGAGAACCTGGCGAAAGATGTCTTTTCTGGGTGTTTTGTGGTGACGTGTACCCTGTTTTCGTTCATTGGACTGATTTGGTTGAGAGAGCAAATAATGCACGGTGGCGGTCCTGATTGGATGGAGAGAGAAATTATGCCAGCGCCAGCAGCAGAAGATATTCCTTTGCCTGACAATAACAATGACCTTGTGAATGATGCGCCAGCGGATGATGCGGCTAGAGAAGAAGCTAATGGAGAGGGTGGTGAGGACCCGCTGGTGGGGGACGAAGCCAACTGGAACCCTATGGAGTGGGACCGTGCTGCCGCTGAGGAACTGACCTGGGCTCGCCTGCTGGGGCTGGACGGATCAATGGTCTTCCTAGAACATGTGTTTTGGGTTGTGTCATTGAACACCTTTTTTATTGTTGTGTTTGCATTCTGCCCCTATCATATTGGCCGGTTGGGGGCAGCGATGGCTGGATTCACTGCTGAGGGTCCCTTTGCTGGACCCCTCACTGCCCTGGCTGGATATGTCTTAGTGGGAGCAATCCTGGCAGTTCTACATGGCATAGCATCGCTACTGCGTCTAAGAAGTGCCAAAAAAGCATTAGGATTCTGCTATGTGGTGGTGAAAGTTGCCCTACTGTCTGTGGTTGAGGTAAGAATACATAATTTGTAACAAATATTTCATTAATTTCTCCATTCATCATTAATTTTTTTGACCTACTAAATTGGAATTATAACTTCCTTTCAATTTCCTGCCATTGGTAACTTTGATTGTTAACCATTTCCAAATACTTCCTTCAGTAATTAAGAAATTGGTGGCCCAAATGAATACATTATAAGCGCTAATTAATAACTGCCTTTTCATGCCTTTAATTTAAGAAAAATAAAGACAAATCATGTTGATGTCAGCTGATTGATTCATTGTTTATATCTCTTCTTTGAGTTATTTATAACTAACTTACTTTCGACCTTATCTGACTGTCAACAACTTGACTGAAATGTTGCAATTTTTGCTTTATCATTCTCACTAAATATAACTTACTACAGAATATTGATAATTTTGCACATAACTACTATGTATTTCTTAACATGGAAACAATTAATTAATATGCACTGTTATCAACACACAAGCTAAAAATAAACCAATTAAAATGTTAATAATTTGGTGCCAATGCATTACTGTTTATTGAGATGTACAAACTTTAGAATTGGTTTACAATTCTGGCAAGATGAATAATATTGAATGTAGATTATAACATTTTCAACGTATGCTCAATGGTATTTCTACAAAAATAGATACAAACTGTTGGGAACAAATAGGTGGACCAACCTCTTTTGATATTTATCTTTGTTTTAATACTTTTTTTTATTATTTTTGATACCTTATGTTTTTAGTATGAAGTGTATGTTTTTGATAGCCTTCTGGGCATTTTTAAGCAAGAATAAACCTTTATTTCAACCGAAAGTATTTCTATTTTTGCCCGCTTGAGCGACAGCCGCTCAAGCGGGCAAAAATATAAATACTTTCGGTTATTACTACACAACCCAGCATAGCTGCTATATGCTATCTGATCTAATTAACATATAAATTTGAAAAAATCTTTCCTTTCTCTATCAGATCGGTGTGATCCCACTGGTATGCGGCTGGTGGCTGGACCTATGCTCTTTATCGATGTTCGACGCGACCCTCAAAGACCGCGAGGCAAGTCTCCAAGCTGCCCCCTGGACGCTCATGTTCATACACTGGCTAGTCGGCATGGTCTATGTGTATTACTTTGCCTCCTTCATACTCCTCTTGAGAGAGGTGCTGAGACCAGGCGTGCTGTGGTTCTTGAAGAACCTGAATGACCCTGATTTTAGTCCTGTGCAGGTTTGTAAATTTATTATTATTCAGTTTTAGTATTTATTCACAGAAGTATTTTTGTAATTTGGCACCTGGATAAATCCTTCTTTGTTAATTAAATTATTGCAAAGATACATACATTAATGCAGTACAGTAAAATCTCGATTATCCGGACATCCGATTATCTAGACTCATTCTTTACGGCTATAATTACCAATTTAGGGCCTGGACCCGGCACGGCGCCGTTACACGTTTCACGCTCTTTTTTCATTGTTAAAAGAAATGGATTCACCCAATGGTCTAAATCAGGGGTCTCCAAACTTTGAAGCCTTGGGGCCATAATATTTTTTTCGATTATCCGGAATGCCCCTGGTAATTCATTGATCCGGATAATCGGATTCTTTGATCCCTTTGTTTATTGCATTGCATGTTTAATAAAATTATATTGCATTGTACACATTTTATTTGTGTTTTTATTGATTAATTTCATTTATTTTAATAATTTATTTTCATGATACAAATGCCTTACCATAGAGTCTTTACAGGAAATGATCCACCTGTCAGTATGGTCTCACATTCGCCGACTGGTGGTCTCTGCCATGATATTCGGGACTGCTGTGCTGTTCATGTTGTGGCTGCCGATAAGAGTGATCAAGTACGTGCTGCCCGGATTCCTGCCGTATGCTGTGGCTGTCCACACTGAGGCTCCGGTCAATGAACTTAGCTTGGAGTTGCTGCTGCTTCAGGTGAGTTTTGGTATCACCATAGTTGTAGCCAATTGAAGATGTTGCTTCAGCTCAAAATATGAACCAATTAAGTAGCAGAGGTACTCCGTAATGACGTTTACATAATTTTAGGCCCGTCACTGTCCTTATGCTGGCATCTCATTTTGCGTGAGTGAGAGCGATGGAAACATTCGAAACTTCGAATAACATTTTTGGGAGTAAAACCCGTTTTCCCCAGTATCTAAATTCGCAAGACATAATTAGAAACACCATTTCAGACAGCCGTTTTCCAGAGCAAAAGTTTTTATCTTTTAATGAAATATCAATTCAATTATTATTCCAGGTGATCCTGCCAGCGCTGCTGGAACAATCCCACACCAGAACCTGGCTGAAGGCAGGTCTGCGGGCGTGGTGCCTGTGCGCCGCCGGCGTGCTAGGGCTCCGCTCGTACTTGCTGGGCGAGACGGCGCGCCAGGCGGAGCCGCACCCGCCGCCGCACCCGCCGCACCAGCTCGGCGCCGCGCACCAGGTCAGTCCTACGTCCAGGACCTAGTATGCTTCCCTGAGGTACACCATATTCTTCTTGGAGACTATCACTTATGTCTGCACCCGTTTGGACACACCGCTTGAGATTTGAAAGGTAGCGGGGAAACCAGTCGCTTATTAGAGCCGCGCCCGCTGCATTCGCTGGGCGCCGCGCACCAGGTCAGTGGACGCTTCCAGAACAGTCCCGCACCAGGAGCTGGCTGAAGACAGGCTTCCAAGCGTGGTGTCTTAAGGGCGCCAGAAGTTTGATCACCAGCCAGCCCACAATGGACTTCAGAACCTGTTCTTGAAGGACTGCTGTATTATCAGTATAGCATTGCACATAATATTTCGGCTCAGGATGTCAATTAGGTATACGAGAAATAGTGTTGGATCTAGTATGCTTCCCTGAGGTACACCATATTCTTCTTGGAGACTATCACTTATGTCTGCACCCGTTTGGACACACCGCTTGAGAATTGAAAGGTAGCGGGGAAACCAGTCGCTTAGTCGCACCAGCTAGGCGCCGCGCACCAGGTCAGTGGACGCTTCCAGAACAGTCCCGCACCAGGAGCTGGCTGAAGATAGGCTTCCAAGCGTGGTGTCTTCTAGGCGACAGAAGTTTGATCACTTCAGAACCTGTTCTTGAAGGACTGCTGTATTTTCTCATAATATTTCGGCTCACTTCAAATCAGCTTCAGGATGTCGATTAGGTATACGAGAAATAGTGTTGGACCTAGTATACTTCCCTGAGGTACACCATATTCTTTTTTGGGACTACACTTATGTCTGCACCCATTTGGACACACCGCTTGAGATTTGAAAGGTAGCTGCGAAACCAGTCACTTATTGCCACATACAGTTTCTGCAAATTAATGGGACCGTAACTGTGTCAAAGGCCTCCGCTATTTCTAAAAAGTCTCCAAGGCAGGCTTTATTATGGACTTGAAGAATGACTTACAGTTTGCGTTTCCTCTCGATTATAATCTGGTCTCTCTTTTTCAATGTCAATGGGTTGTAATCGTTTACGTGTTTCTAAAATAAATGATAATTTGTTGACAGGCGCTGATGCGACGCGACGGGCCAGCCGGCTACGAGCCATACGTCCGCGTGTCTTGGTTCCCGGTGCGACTCGCTGCTCTATTGGTCCTCGTTTCAATCTCCTTGGTGCTTGCTAGCGCTCTCACTTTGGTAAGTCGTTTAAAATTTTCTTAATCACCAATATCTGGAACCACTTTATTTTTTTATTAATAGCATGCTGTTACTTGTTGCATCTTATAGAACCGTCTAAATTAAATCAATTTTCTTGGTTTTTTTTTACAATAGGTTATCCCTGTGGCGATCGGAAGAAAAGTAATGGCTCTATGGCTGCCTAAGGCTTCAGAAGGTGTTCACGAACTATACACTGCGGCTTGTGGTAAGAGTTCATCAATTGTCTGAATGTGATACACAAGTGCATTTTCGCAGTTCGCACAGATGTGAGCAAGTTTACAAGGTTTTCAGCTAAATGTAGAATTGAATTCCTCTTCACGATAGTGGCTTTAAAGGCGTGGTTTCCATGGTTGATAACTCGGTCATGTGGGGAGTTTCGACTTGTATATGACGAAATCATGATAGCAGCGTTTAACGCCCGGCGTAAAAAACCCTGTAGACTACAGACTTTTTGTCGGCTGAAAGTTTGGTCGGCTTCTAATTTGTAATCGGATACCAAATCTTTTATACATGATCAAGTCCAAAGCCCAATCACAAGGTTTGTCGGGCGCAAACTGTTGATCTCATTTTTAAATAGCACCGGGGTGACCGTGTGATCCTTTCGTTTTAGGGATGTACGTTTGCTGGGCTTTGGGGCGAGGCGGTACGTTAGCGGCGGGCTGGGCCCGCGGCGGCCGCACCGCACTAGTGTCCCGCTGCATACTGTGGGCGCGCGTCGCGCTGCGGGCCGCGCTGGCCGCCGCAGCGCTGCTGGGACTAGTGCCGCTTATGTTCGGGCTGCTGCTGGAGCTGGTGAGTTGAACACAACCCTATTTCTTATGGCATACGGTTGGGAATGACATGACAAAGGTGACAACCCACCACCACCCAGAGTGGTGTGGGCCAGAGTAAAACTAACCTTAATTTGTATGGCATACGGTTGGAAATGACATGACAAAGTTAGCTCACGGCTGGAGCCGGTGAGTAGTGTCCCGCTGCATACTGTGGGCGCGCGTGGCGCTGCGGGCCGCGCTGGCCGCCGCCGCGCTGCTGGGACTAGTGCCGCTTATGTTCGGGCTGCTGCTGGAGCTGGTGAGTTCAACACCACCCTATGTCTTAATGGCATAGGGTCGAAAATGACATGACAAAGCTACTCAGCTAACGGCTGGAGCTGGTGATTGTAGGTGAGAGTAAAACTAACCTTATTTCTTATGGCATACGGTTGGAAATGATATGACAAAGCTAATCAGCACACGGCTGGAGCTGGTGAGTGCGGGTCAGAGTAAAACTAACTCTAATTTGAATGTCATATGGTTGGAAATGACATGATAAAGCTAATCAGTTAACGGCTGGAGCTAGCGAGTGTGGGCCAGAGTAAAACTAACCCTATGTCTTATGGCATAGGGTCGAAAATGATGTGACAAAGCTAGTCAGCACACGGCTGGAGCCGGTGAGTAGTGTCCCGCTGCATACTGTGGGCGCGCGTGGCGCTGCGGGCCGCGCTGGCCGCCGCCGCGTTGCTCGGACTAGTGCCGCTTATGTTCGGGCTACTGCTGGAGCTGGTGAGTTGAACACGACCCTATTTCTTATGGCATACGGTTGGAAATTACATGACAAAGCTAATCAGCACACGGCTGGAGTATTGTGTAGTGTCCCGCTGCATACTGTGGGCGCGAGTCGCGCTGGCCGCCGCCGCGCTGCTCGGACTAGTGCCGCTTATGTTCGGGCTGCTGCTAGAGCTGGTGAGTTTCACAAACATTGTTGTTACGGCGACAGATTTAGGTAAGATGGTGGTAGCTAGCCAGGCGGTCTTAGACCAAGCCCTGCCACCAACCAAACGGAACAGAAAAATCTGTTGAACACAACCCTATGGCTGGTTTTAGTGTCACGCGGACCGTCCGGTACGGCAGCCGGTCTGTATGAACTTTTTGGAGCGTTTAGAGTAATGCGGTCCGCGGAACCGCTCTCTCCGTAGCAGTTCATACAGATCGGCTGTGCGGAGTGATCCGCACTGACGGTCCGCGTGACACAAAAACCAGCCTATGTCTTATGGCATACGGTTGGAAATGATGTGACAGAGTTAGTCAGAAAGCAGCTAGAGTTGTGAGTGTGGGACAGAGTAAAACAAACCCTAATGTGGATGGCATACGGTTGGAAATGACGTGAAAAAGCTAATCAGCAAACGGCTGGAGCTTGTGAGTAGTGTCCCGCTGCATACTGCGGGCCGCGCTGGCCGCCGCCGCGCTGCTCGGACTAGTGCCGCTTATGTTCGGGCTACTGCTGGAGCTGGTGAGTTGAACACGACCCTATGTCTTAGGGCATACGGTTGGAAATGACATGACAAAGGTGAGTGTGGGCCAGAGAAAAAATACCCCTAACTTGGATGGCATAGGTTGGAAATTACGTGACAAAGCTACTCAGCACACGGCTGGAGTAGTGAGTAGTGCATACTGTGGGCGCGCGTCGCGCTGCTCTACTGGGACTGGTGCCGCTTATGTTCGGGCTGCTGCTGGAGCTGGTGAGTAACCGTATGCCCTAAGAAATAGGGCATACGGTTGGAAATGACATGACAAAGTTGCAACTGGTGAGATGGCTCTTGGCTTGTATCTCACCTGATGGTAAGTGATGATCAGGCCGAAGGTGGAAGCGAGCTTCATCCGGAATCCTCAACCACGGAGGAACTAGTTATCTTACCTCTAACTGCCGAAACACAACAATGCTGTTAACATTGTTGTTATGGCGACAGACTTAGGTAAGATGGTGGTAGCTAGCCAGGCGGTCTTAGACCAAGCCCTACCACCAACCAAACGGAACAGAAAAATCTGCCCCCACTGGGAATCGAACCCGGGACCTCTGCGTCTGAAGCAGGTGGGTTTACCATTAGACCACAGAGGCGGTTTGGCATACGGTTGGAAATGACGTGGCAAAGCTAGTCAGCAAACTACTGGAGCTGGTGCCGCTTATGTTCGGGCTACTGCTGGAGCTGGTGAGTTCAACACAACCCTATGTCTTATGGCATACGGTTGGAAATGACATGACAAAGCTACTCAGCTAATGGCTGGAGCCGGTGAGTAGTGTCCGCGCTGGATGTAAGCCGCTACCAACCGGGCGATGTGGGAATCATTGCGGGGAGGCCTATGTTCAGCAGTGGACGTCTTGTGACTGAAATGATAATGATGATGCAAATACAACAGCATGTGACTACTTCTGGCGGCGACGTGCGGCGATTGACAAACTCTAACCGATGCCTGCTGACGCCTGCTCTCTTTGTGACGAGAATTACGTTTCACGGTGCCTCGCCTTTGGCTGGCTCCATGCCGCTCGCTGTGTGTCGCACCGCATGCACGCTTTATGACGCAGCAGTACACAACGAAACAGAACGTTATTCACTATGTTTTATTTATGATAATAATATTTTACAGGTCTCTAAAAGCATAGTGATTTCTTGAGATCAAAACTCAGAGCAAATCTCGATAAGCTGGAAATAAAGTCCGTACGCTCAGAGAAAGTTTCAACAGAGTAATCTGCTGTAAGAAATAAAATCCAAAATTAATGACTCCCCGGTTTTCTCCAGGTGCTGGTGATCCCTCTCCGCGTGCCACTTGAACAGTCGCCAGTACTATTCGTGTGGCAGGACTGGGCACTCGGCGTGCTTTACACCAAAATCGTGTGCGCACTCACAATGATGGGCCCCGACTGGGCCATGCGCCGCGCCATCGAGAAGGCCTACCGTGACGGCATCCGCGAGATGGACCTCAAGTGAGTACAAACAAGGTGGACCGACGACATTATAAAAGTAGCAGGAAGGCGCTGGACGCAGGCCGCTACCATGGACCTCAAGTGAGTACAAACAAGGTGGACCGACGAAATTATAACGGTAGCAGGAAGGCGCTGGACGCAGGCCGCTACCGTGGACCTCAAGTGAGTACAAACAAGGTGGACCGACGACATTACGAAAAATAAATAAATAAAATATCCTTAGACATTTTACACTGCGCTTCTAGTCCCAAACTAAGCAAAGCTTGTACTATGGGTACTAGACAACGGATATTAACATACTTAAATACTTTTTTTTTAAATACATACTTATTATACATAGAAAACACCCAGTCCAATACAAACAAATATTTTCATGCACACAAATATTTGTACTGTGCGGGAATCGAAGCCGCTACCTCCGGAATAGTAGTCCGTTTCGAACCACTACACCAAACGGCCGACAATTAAGACATGAAGGTAGCAGACATCAAGAAAGTTCTCGAGTGGCGACTACGGGCTGGAAGATCTAGCGTGGGCAGGCCTCCTACTAAGTAGACCGACGACCTGGTAAATGTCGCGGGAAAAACCTGAACGTGGGCACCGCAGGACCGTTCATTATGGAAAACCTTAGGGTTAACCTTACCTTTGTCCAGCAGTGGACGTCATTTGGCTGACATCAGGAAGGCTCTGGATGCAGGCCGCTACCAACTGGTCAACATGGAAATCATTGGGGAGGCCTATGTTCAGCAGTGGATGTCCTATGGCTGGAAAGATGATGATAATGATGATAAGTACAACCACGGCGCCGGTGAAGCATCTCGAGTGAGTACAGCCACAAGGTGAACCGACGACATTATGAGGGTAGCAGGAAGGCGCTGGACGCAGGCCGCTACCAATCGGTCAACATGGAAATCATTGGGGGAGGCCTATGTTCAGCAGTGGACGTCCTATGGCTGAAATTATGATGATGATAATGATGATGATGATGATGAATACAGCCACGGCGCCGGTGATCAAGCTCAAGTGAGTACAGCAGTCGCTCACTATTTAGCGCCATTGGTGAGTGACAGGGTTACAGGACACTGTAGGCGTCAACTGGTGTGCTGTAATACGATAGCCCTCATTGGGTAATGAATGCTTCGTGACATCGAAAAAGTACCATGCATTATTGCATTTCTATTACGGATAAGGCGCGGTTCTTTCTTTAATACACGACAGCAGTGCACGTTTTTTCTTGCTCTCAAATTCAAATATTTTATTCAGTACATATAGGCCCTTTCCAGGGCACTTATTCACGTCCCAAATATAGCTTGCCCTACCACTACTTCGGGAAAATATATGGGCTGGTGTTGAGAAGAAGTGGCGGAAGAAACTCAGTCGCTCTCGAATTTAACACCCGTGCTTCGTTTCCAGATTCATCCTGACCGAAGTGGCCGCGCCCATAGTGTGCTGGCTGGGGCTAGCTCTTGCAGTGCCGTATGCGTTCGCGCACAGCGTGGCGCCGCTGGTGGTGACGTCAGCGGCGCAGCGCAATCTGCTGGCGCGCCGCGTGTATCCCGCGCTGCTGCTGTGCTGCGTGCTGTGCGCGCTCACAGTGTTCCAGGTGGGTACGCACAGCGTGCGCTGGTGTGACGTCACCGCGGCCTGTTGGCGCGCCGCGTGTACCCCGCGCTGCTGCTGTGCTGCGTGCTGTGCGCGCTCACAGTGTTCCAGGTGGTACGCACAGCGTGCGCTGGTGTGACGTCACCGCGCTGCTGCTGTGCTGCGTGCTGTGCGCGCTCACCGTGTTCCAGGTGGGTACGCACAGCGTGCGCTGGTGTGACGTCAGCGGTGCTGCTGCTGTGCTGCGTGCTGGCGCGCTCACCGTGTGCCAGGTGGGTACGCACAGCGTGCGCTCGTGTGACGTCAGCGGTGCTGCTGCTGTGCTGCGTGCTGTGCGCGCTCACCGTGTTCCAGGTGGGTACGCACAGCGTGCGCTGGTGTGACGTCACCGCATATCCCGCGCTGCTGCTGTGCTGCGTGCTGTGCGCGCTCACCGTGTTCCAGGTGGGTACGCACAGCGTGCGCTGGTGTGACGTCACCGCGGCCTGCTGGCGCGCCGCGTGTACCCCGCGCTGCTGCTGTGCTGCGTGCTGTGCGCGCTCACAGTGTTCCAGGTGGGTACGCACAGCGTGCGCTGGTGTGACGTCACCGCAGCCTGCTGGCGCGCCGCGTGGACCCCGCGCTGCTGCTGTGCTGCGTGCTGTACGCGCTCACCGTGTTCCAAGTACACATGATATAAGAATAGGTTTCCCTAAGGCCGTCTACCACATAGAGCGTGTTTCAAACGCCATCGTCTCGCTGTCGTTAAGGCAGCGCCTGCACAGCGTTGACACGGCGCACTAACGTTCTTTAATAATGCGACGCCAGCGCTTATTTTTTAGCTTAAAATAGAGGCGGTGACTGGTGGGCGCCAGTACGAAAGAAAAACAATTAGATTTTTATTGGACGCTACCGTCTACTAAGGTCCTGTTACTTACTAAAGCCTGGTCCGTGAGCACGTAGAATCCCGTCCAATGACCCCAAGCTGCCCATCCTTGTCGCTTGCACGTAATTATGTTGCTGTCGCGCTCGCACACTCACTGCGGGCGCGCGTCGCACAGTCGCGACAGCAATATAATTACGCGCGAGCGATAAGGATGGGTAGCTTGGGGTCATTGGACGGGATTCTACGTGCTCACGGACCAGGCTTTAGTGGCGCCTACTAGTGAGCGCAAATACGTAGCCCACATTACCAATTTTTGCTTTGAATGCAATAGAATAACACTATCTATTTTCTCCTCTAGATCCGCCAATTCCGCAAGTTATATGAGCACATCAAGAATGACAAGTACCTGGTAGGCCAGAGGCTCGTGAACTACGACCACCGGCGTCACAAGCAACAAGCCCAGCTTGCCGCCTGAGCGCCGCGATACCGCGTCACCATCGCGTTCGACCGCAATCAGTTCGACCGTAAGCACTTCGACCGAAAACAGAACATCAGCAGTGTACGCGCAGTGGTCTATACAACTAGCGTTGCCAGATTAGCATTTCAAAAGTCAGTACATAAAAAAACGGGTTTTGACTTAAAAAATCGGGACTTCTAAAATTACACATTGTATTTTTGTGATTAAAATAAAATAAAAAACAGTCAGATCAATGAAAAAATTCACTTAAAGTATTAGATAGGCATTCTCTACAATACAATGGATTTATGTACTCTAATTGTGGCTAGAAGAATGCTATATGGTGTTAAGTTCACCTTATGTAAATACTATAAATGTTGTAGTTCGATGTTTTAAATTTATAAAACAGCGGGATATTCGGCATTCCACTCATGCTGTTTTCTAAACGTCCTGGAAACGGGACGTTTTACCAAAAGAGACCTCTGGCAACACTAAACACGACACACCGGTCGCCTAACGGTCCGACTAGTGGTTGCAGCGTGGTGAACGAAACGCGAACGCGTAAACGGCTAAACTCAAACGTGAATTCGTATTCGACGCTAGAGCTGTACGTCAATAAATACAAGATGGTTAGTGAAAGAAAGAAAATCAAATATTTGGTGTAATGAAACTTTTTTTGCGTTATTGGGTCTAAATTTATGTGTTAAAGAAATTATATCTTTAATTTCAAAATAACTTTGATTCAATATAGAAAATTAAGTTTCTTTTTTTAATCGGTTTTGTTGACGTACGAATTCCGGTGTGGAATATGAATGCGGTATTGCTAACATTAGCTAACGTGATCGTGTGAGATGAACATTAATAATATCAATATTTTTTTATGTAATAAATAACACTTATCCTTCTAGAAACTACATAGAAAGAAATATAAAGCCATAAACTTATATTTTTAGTAGTTAACCTCTCACACGATCTATGTTACTAAACTCCGCTCGTCACACAGATAGAATTTCGTACAATGAACCCAAGCTATCCATTCTTATCTATTGCTGTCGCGCTCGCACACTCACTGCGGCCGCCCGTCGCATAGTCGCGACAGCAATTTAATTACGCGCGTGTGATAAGGATGCGTGGCTTGGGTTCATTGTACGAAACTCTATTTGCTCGGCGACCGGACTTTATTTGAAAAATACTTTGAGTATTTATAAATGTTCGAGACGTTAAGTGTAATCTTAAATCAGAACATGTGGTACTTCAAACGTGAACGGAGACCAAACTTGAAACTGTCGATAGAATTTCTTTTATTGTAAAAAATAATATTTTAAAAGACACCAAAGTGAGAGTCGGAATTCGCTAAAAAACGATTGGATCACGTAATTTCTAAAATTACTCACAGCCACATGTATTTTAAATATTGTATACTATATTTTAAGTACAATTTGAACAGTATGGAGTGCATTTTGTAATGAATAGGTTTTGTTTTGTATACGGTTTCGCTAACCTTTGATATTACAGCAAACATACAGTATGTAAATGTTTTAAATATTATTATGTAACTTCAGTTCTATACAGATAATTATATTTCATAGAAAAGCATGATATTCCTCAAAAACTTCGGAAAATAAGCATTATTACACTACATGATTTTATAAAAGCGTATTAATATCTAATGCCTTCCTGATATGAAACATTCCTGACTAACGAAACAACTGTGTATTTGCTGTATTATTCTTGATTAGCGACTCCCCTCAACCCATGGTTTACACGATACATGGTGTATCGTTTGCGGACGCTCGAAGCGTGAGGTCAATTTGCACGCCCTGTATAGTCACGAAAGCATTTGTAGCGACAACAGCTTGACCGCTGTGGCCATCCAGGCTACACCAAACGAAGCTAGTTCAGGTTAGTTACGACTATTTAATATTTATGACATCGGAAAGTGTAAATAAGTTCACGCCAATAGTTTTTATATGTACAGGGTGTCCCATGAAGAACAAGTGAAGCTTAAGGTGTATGTAGATCAAAGGATGACTCACAAACCGATGATGATAAACAAAATGATTAATGAGTCATTATAGAAACAAATATTTGCCAAAAACTTAGACACATTGCAAAAAAAACCTTCCTTATCAAAGTTAACAGACTGTCGAAGTTTGTATGGGAAATAATACATTTTTGTGATTTGCCCTTTATTTTTGATGAATGTTTCTTTATTTATGACTAACAGTCACCTATTACATATTTGCATTAATTAAAAATAGTACATACTACAATATACACTTTAAGCTTGATGTGACTTTAATAGGACACTATGTATCCTAAAACCTGATAGATGTTTTAAATCAACTCTTTGTTTAGTATACGTTCTATTACCATACTAAATTAAAGAATATCTGAATGCCTACGATTTACCTCACTGAACTAGTTATTTTCGCCTTAATTTGTATAGAGTAGAAGAGAGGAGTCTATACGTATATTACATACATTCGAAAGAGTACGCTAAGGTGTGTCGTCCATAGTTAAGCTTAGTTTCTTACCTAACTTTCCAATATTGATATTGTTCCATAGGTGTTGGTTCGCATAGCTGACGCAGTTTCCATAGTTGTGCAAACATAAGAATAATATACTTCGTACAGATCAATTTCTTCGCAAAGGTATTAAAAAAAATCTACTCAATATCGTCAACAATATAGTGCAATTTAGCTTGCCTCAGAGTCCAGTCGTTTTACTCGAGAAAAACGATTCAAAATAGGTTCATACTTTTACATACAGCCATGCCGGCGTGGCCGCCGCGCGTGTTTTGTTTTCGATGCCTACTCGGGGAGATGAACAGGCCTGTATTACAAACACTATGGAAAACTGCGTCATGATTGATGATATGATTTCACACCATCTGATTAAGGGTTAAGTTTATTTAATAAATACATACAATAAAAAGACAACAAACTGGTAAAACGACACTATTACTAATTATTTAGCGTGCAACAAATATAAAACGGCTTGCCAAACTTTTAAAAAGACTTGAAACCTATTCGAGCTGATTTTTCAACCGTTAACATTTGGTTCGTGTACAAAAGAATTATAATATTATGAAGGTTATAGGTTTTTATTTATTCGCTACTTGACGATTGAAAAATTGGCCTAAATACTATGTATGTATTTGAATTTAGTCAGAGTGATATTTGATTGTAAAATAATTATTGTATCTAAAATGGGTGTATACTATTGGTAGAGGCTGTTTGTTTTATATTTTTTATAATTTATCATATTTTTTTTACTTATTAATTAAAAGAGATATAAAGAGAATTATTATCACTCTGAACAAAAATCGATATTAAATTAAAATAGTTTTTTTTCTTCATATTTGTTTGCGAGAGCAGCTTATTTGTGAGTTATGTTTGTAGAAATAGTAATAGATATTTTGTACGAACAAGGTTGTCGTACTTATTGTCGTACAAGTAAAGGAATGACTGAAATCAGATACAGAGAAAATATATTACGTAGAAGCATTGGCACTGCACCAGGCCAGATTCGCTTACGTAATCGTTAAAAAAACCATAATAAACGATGAAGAACTAACATCCAAGTTGAACTGCCACGAACAGCTTTGTTTAAACAAAATATTGTAACATTACTGTTGGTCTAGGGCTTAACTGAGTTAATGCCTGAGGTATGGGAGCGGCACGGGAGGGCATTTTTGAAACGTCAAACGTCAGCGAGACGCGTTTGTGTGCTTTGTCACGTCATAAGGAGCCGTCCATTAATTACGTGAGACGTTTAGGGGGGGAGGGGGTCAAGAAAAACCTCACTAAATCTCACGTAGGGGAGAAGGGGGGTCTCGACAAATATCACAAAAATTTTTTGAACAAGAAAAAGGGTCAAATTGCGAGAAAACTGGGTTATTTTAAATTAAAAAAATGAATATATTTTAAGATGATAGTGATAATTATTCAATGTTTTTATTCTAAACCGTCTAAACAATAAAAAAATTAGAAGAAACTGTATTTTTAAAATATTAAATCCTAATCGAAGCATAGATAACCCATTTACATTGCAAATATGTATTTTATGTGGGGAGGGGGAGGGGGTCTAGAAAAATCTCACCAAGGGGGGCGGGGGTTTGAAAAATTGCCAAAATTGTCTCACGTAATTAATGGACGCCCCCTAATATGTCATTGTCACCCCTCTCTTGTCGCTTCCATATCTCAGGCACTGGCTCAGTTAAGCGCTTGACATATAAACAGAAGGACTGATCAAATACAGGCCAAACGGTTGAATTTAATTTATTTTTGAAATAAAATACGATTATTTCATATTTTACAACACTTGAGGTCCTTTTGGCCAGTCCTCGCAAACGTGCACTCGGTAATCTTGAAGTTGTTGTCGGACATCCATTTAGGTTAATGCTTCATAGGATGTAATAAATCAGTCTTAATTTTATTTTAGTGTAAGGCGTAGTAGACACGCACCCGTACGGTCAGAAAAACAATTAAAACTATTGTGATTTATTGATCTATTTTGCTTTTTAAAAGCTTCAGTTAAATTTTAGTGGTAATTGAGAAAAAACTTCCTAATTTCATAAGCCGTTATTGCACTAACATGATTAGAATTGATTTCACAGCTTTTTTGATATTTGCATTTGATTTAGATTCTTTGCAGCGGCACGGAATTAATAAATGAATAATAACTACCCTGTTTCTCATTCTACCTGCGTGTTCCATTCGCTGGATCATATTTTATTTCTATCTAGCGTTGTTAAGTAGTTTTATAATATAATTTATTGTATACTGCTCAATCTTGTATTTTGTTTTATTGACTTAGTTTTGTTTTCTTTATTTTGGGGACTTATTCTGAAGATACACATTAGAATCATTTATTTATATGTATGAAAATGTATAACGTTAATTTATAATTATGGTGTGGTTATAATAGGAAGAATAAGTCCCTAAAATTGTTTTTGATTTATTTTCTCATTCACCTTCTGGCTGTAGTTGTACATTATTTTAAACATTTAATTGGCCAGAGTAATTAAAGTGGAGGCTCCATCAGTAAAGAGTTAGATGACATTAGATGCAGGTAATAAGCAATTTGTAAACAATAAATTAATTATTGAAATAACTAGAGTTTAATTTCCAATTTCCAAAAGGTCAAAAAGGTTATAAATACCTACATTTTTCAAAGATATAGGGATATTTCTGATCTGAGGCAATTCAATTTAGTAATCTCGAAATAGAGTCGTTTTCTCGAGGAAAATAGAA